TAAGTTTCGCTTCTTGTTTTCATGGGGAGACTGTGACTTGTCGTCTGACCTTTCTTCATCATCTTCTGTGGGTAGACAGCTCTGATTGGTCGCTCCCTCTCTATGTCCAATAGCACTGCTTCCTGTATAGCTTCTGCTGGGCTGAGGAGAGCCTGAACTTGTTATGGACACTTCCTGCCACGAGGAGCCAAGGATATCTGTGCTTTCAGGCTTTTGAGGCATATGCACACTGGATGAATGTGAGCCTCCCTGAGCCTCTGTGTTGAGTGTGCCAGTGGTTGTCCAAAGCGCTGTTATACACAGCCTTCCTCTGTCCATCTCTATCTCATCTTTAGCATCCCTACAGTGTGTGTCAGTGGTCTCACACAGTGACTCATGATACTTTTGGAGCTGCCTCATTATCTTAGCGAAACTTGCAAGAGTAAAATTTACAGAGGTGTCTTTGACATTTCTGTAGCTGTCAGGGACAAAGGACCCCTTGTCTGAATTAAGGAAAGGCTTCACTCGGAGCAGCAGCTTGACTTGGGTGACCAGGTGCATGATCTCAGTGCACAGGCTGTCTTTGTCTTGGGTACCAGCATGGCAGTAACTGTGAAAACTAGATAAAGCATTTTGACAAGCTTGAACTGCCTGTGCTACAACCTCCAAAGGAGTTCCAAGCCACTTGTGAGTGACAGTGAGGGAATAGGCAGCTTTTAGAAAGGTATGAAGCTCCTGCTTGCTGGTTACTAGATCGCCCTCTGCTCTGGTGAGAAGGCCAATTGTAAATGCTTCTTGTGCCTGCTGGAGAAATGACTGTCTTTGAGAATCTGGACACTCCACTGAGAAACTGTATGATAGCAAGCAGGTACCCTGGGTTGTCTAAAGAAAAACACAAACAGAGGAACAATTACCTAACCACAGGAAAGATCTCGTTTACGATCCTACATTCTGTGCAGAAGTCTTTAGCCACCCCTCATTTCTTTACTCACTCATTTTCAGTGCCGTTCTTGTACCTGACAGTATTCAAGCATTAAGAAGAACCTAACTCAATGCATGTACTAGTACTGTGTCTACACATAACAGAAAAATTAGCACAGAACCAATTTTGTATCTTTAGGCATTTTGTTATTAGCAGTCTGTCACAAAAACACATAATTTGTTCCCATTATTTTGGTTAATTCTGCAAAAAAGGCCAAAGATAACACAGCTCGACAGGCATATATTATTATTTTACTTAGCATATCTTGTAGAGGT